GGGGTGGTGCAGTGCTGCGGACTTGGCGACCCGAGTTCAATTCGCGATCACGGATAACACCCGGAACCAATCAAGGGGGTCTTCCCCGAGGTCGACTAAGCCTCAAATGAGCAGCCCTGGTGCGGCGTGTTCAACTTCAGCGCTGGGGAGACAAGACTCGAGTTGCCCCGAGTAAACCCGCGAATGCGTGTCGCGGGAACGCGCGCGTGTCGTACAGGATTGGTCCGTGGCAGTAGTTGCGGCACAGCTCCACCAGCCGCGGCGGCGCCAGGTCCTTCCACATGTAGTGGTGAGCGTCGGCGGTGAGGCGGTAGTAGCCGTCCAGCAGGCAGATGGCCGACTGCGCCTCCTGCAGGGTCGCAAACTCCAGCTCCTGCGGGTCAAGGGGCGGACGAGCGGATCAGCGACGCGTCACCGGGCCGGCAGCGCTGCACACGGCTGCTTCATCATCAGCAGCAGCAGCAGCAGCGGTGCACACGGCTGCTTCATCAGCAGCAGCAGCAGCGGTGCACACGGCTGCTTCATCAGCAGCAGCAGCAGCGCTGCACACGACTGCTTCATCATCATCATCATCAGCAGCAGCAGCAGCGCTGCACACGGCTGCTTCATCAGCAGCAGCAGCAGCAGCGGTGCACACGGCTGCTTCATCATCAGCAGCAGCAGCAGCGCTGCACACGGCTGCTTCATCAGCAGCAGCAGCAGCGGTGCACACGGCTGCTTCCGCAGCGATCCGGTTAGGTTCACCACTCGCACAGCCGGCACCAGCCCGCCAAACTGCACCACGCGAACGGCCGCCCACGCCCCGCAAAACCCCGAAACGCCGCCAAAGCCTTCCTCCTCCTGCCACCGCCGCCGCCACTTCTCCTCCTCGTGTCGTACCCCCACCCCCCCCCCCAGCCCCCCCCCCCCCCCCAGCGAGCTCCTCGGGGAGTCTCGTAAACCCCGAACACGCGGAGACGAGCGTCACTCGTCTCCGCGTGTTCGGCGCGGCAGGGGAGCTGCCGCGCCGGCGTTAGGGTCGGCGG